GCACTAAGTTGATCTCCTCTGATGTAACCATTGCCATAAGGGGTTGGAAATTTCATCAACAAAATATGTGTGGATACCATGGCCTTAAGATCATTGATGCCTGTGCGTCTCAAGATGACATTGTATGCCGTTGGGCAATTAACCATTAGGAAGTTAGTGGTAATGGTAGCTGTGTAAGGGCATGTACCAATGGTGATAGGTAAGTGTATGCTCCCCAAAGGTTGCACGATATCACAAGAGAAGCTTATCAGAGGGGAAATCGAGCGATCGAGCAAGTGTTCAGCTATATTAAGTGCCTTGAAAGCTTCAGCAAACATGATATTGACCGAAGCCCCCGTGTCTACCAGGATTCATCGTACTTCAAAGTTGGCTATGTGAGCTTCCACGATCAGTGGGTTGTTCTAAGGGTAGATGATACCTCTTTCTTCCTCAGGGTAGAAACATATTGGATCCCAGTTAGGCTTTTGATAGTTGCCTCCCCTGATGTCTTCCACGTGAAACACTTGGTGGCCAGACCTTAAAGCTCGTTCACTATTTTTCATGGCCATGTTGGAAGATTTAGATATGGGTGTGCCACAACTTATGGAATATATCACATTCACCCGGCGTTGGTTACGGTTACCTCTTGGAGGGTGAAGGAGGAATTAATCAATTTTTCCTTCACGTGCCAAAACTTCAATATGATCACGAAGGGTGATACACTTCTCGCTGTCATGGCCGTGCTCGTGGTAGCAGCAAAACGTGCCCGTGTTATTCATGGGCTTGTAACCCGACTGCCTCGGCATTGGCTTCGGTATCAGGTGTGCTATGCTGGGATAAATAGCCACGCATGTGGCGTTCAAAGGTGTGTATGTCTCATACCTCGAGGTAGGGCCTGTCCTGACACATGTTTGGCCCACTGTGTTGACTACCTGAGGGGGGGCATTATCATGGCGATACCCTTGCTTATCGCGATAGTGTCCCTTACTCCTTTTACTAAAATGAGACTGGTGAGGATGGAAATCTTTCCTTTTGCCCTGAGATTGATATGTTTGTTGACTTGGCGAAGTATTAAGTAAGGCAGGAGGAGGCACCATTGCCATTTGGAAGGTCGAGGTCTTCTCATTTGTTTGGATCTGGCTTCCACTCCCTACTTGCTGATAAAGGGCGGTTGTGGGGGGTTTCCCTTGGTATGTCATTGCCTCGGCGAAGGCAGGGTTATAAGCCTAGGCCATCACCTCAGAGTAAGTCTTCCAAGTGTTGGCATTGATCATGTACTTAAAGAAACAATCACATAGGCTTGTCGTGAAGGCTTTGAGGGTAGTTTTGTTGTCTGCCTCGGCACAACGGGAATACTCATGGCTGAAGTGGCCAGCATACATACGTAATGATTCATCTGGCTTCTGGCGAATAGTGTACAAGTCATCCGCAGAGTGTAAGCGATCGGTCTGGAAAATGTGTTGAGAAACAAACAGTTTCCTCAATTCCTTAAATGAGTCTACCGTCTCAGGTGGAAGACGGCAATACCAGTTTAGAGCTCCACAAGAGAGGGTAGAGGGGAAGAAAAGACATCGTTCTTCGTTGGTGTGCATCCGGTATGCCATGGTGGACTAAAAAAGATTAAGGTGTTCAATCGGGTTCTCCTTTCCAGTATAGAGTTGCAAGCCAAGCTTCTGCTTTGTCTTTGCTTAGAAGGGGGTGTCGAGGATTCTCCTTGTAAGAGGGCCAGGCCTAGGTTGGTTCCAATCAGGTAACTCAGCTTGTCGTTTGGCCTTCAACTTGTTTACTTCCTTAAAAAGCTGTAAGACAAGAGGATCTTGAGTGAAGTCATGTACCACTGGAGCTTTCTTTCATAAATCTCCATCTCCTCTTGGAAGTACGAAGGTTTGATCAAGAGCATGTGATTTTTCCCTGGACTCGCCGTACTGACTTCCAAGGTATGTCTGTTGGAACATATCTGAGTCCTTTATACCTTCGTGTTTCTCTAGGACTTGTTGGCCCTTCCCCAAGTTGGTAGCCGGCCTGGGACATGGGAGGGGACCGAGTCTTTCAGAGACCCTTGGGTCATTGATCTTTGAGCTTACATGGATGGGATTGTCTCGACGTTGCTTTAGGAAATCTCGACACTCGTGAAAGACGGCTTTTAATCCTTCCACTCCTTTTGTAAGGAGGTGTCTTCCTCCCCTTCTCCTGCTTCAGGTCGAAGCAGCTGGGTTGAGAAAAGTCTCATGTTGATTAATGTTTTGATGATTAGCTCGCTCCTCATCAGGGATACTTATGTCGAATGAAGGTGACCTTCCGTGTTGGGGGGCACCCAGATGATGGTTGATGTCCACAGGGGTAACGAGCTCGCGTGTTTGAGTACGCCTAGTTTCGTGGAGCGTCTCAAAGAGCTTCTCGTACTGCTCCTGGAAGACCTCATTTTTCATTGCTATCTTGTTGTTATGAGCTTCTAGCTCATCGACTTTAGCCTGAAGAGCAAACTTCTTTTGTTCATTCTTTCGTTGCTTCACACCTGGTGCAAGATGGGTGTCATTCTGTGTGCTGTGGCGTCCTTCACTCCCCATGTTGGAAAGGGATGCCTGGTCAAAAGAGAGTGTACGAATGGTGGAAATGAGCTTAACAAAGCTGAAAAAGTGGGAATAAGTATCGTTCTCACAGACGGCGCCAAATGTTGATGCACAAAATCAGTGAGGACTTTGGTACAACAGAAAGTGTTAAGTTTGTGACCTTCGCTAGATTGCTCCGGTCACTAGTATGGATAAGTATGTAAATGGATAGAGACAGGGAAGCAAACATAAAATGTACGTGGTTCACCCAGATTGGCTACATCCACGGAGTAAAAGAGTTCTCATTAATTATGAAGGGTTTACACAAGTACATAGGTTCAAGCTCTCATTTTGTGAGTACTTGTGAATGATTTAGTACAAATGACATTAGGCAATATTGTGGGAGAATGATCTCCTTTTAAAGAAGAGTTTCTAGCTTTGTTCTGACATTGACACGTGTCATGTTGTGATTGGCTTCTGAAGTTGACACGTGTCGTGTTGTGATTGGCTTCTGATGTCAACACGTGTCGCACTGTGATTGGCCTCCTGGTTGGAGGGAAACTCTTCTAGGTCCTTGACGGTATAACGTTGACCGGTGCTCATTAGTTTCGGGATTGGTCAAGTATGGTACAAACAAGAATTATATAGTGAGAGGTTACTTAACGATGAAGTTCGTGGGTTAGTGTAAGTGTTTTAGTTAACCAACGACCGCTTTAATTGGTGCAAGTCCCAAGAGAAGGTGTGCGACAACTATTTAATCATTATTAGCGCCTGGGATTGTACCCTCAACAATGATTAAAGAGGGCACTGTTTGGGTTAATATTTGAACATTGGGCTGCAAGTGTGTGGAAGCCCAGATGTTCCAATTAGAAGAAAGACTTGCCCAAAGCCTAAGCATTAGGCCTAGAGACAAATTGGCACATTCCCATTAATGCATAAGCCATGTGCCTATGATTTAAATGTCAAGTGATGGGGACTAACTCACAATCAGCTAAAATGTAATTTTTAGTGGCAATACAAGTAAAAAGCTGATGACTCACTACCCTCCAAGTGCTTTCGGGCAAGAGCAAAGTCACTGCAATCAAGCTAATTCGCCTATAAAAGGAAAAAGAGGTCTTAGAGATAAGGACACTTAACCAATCAAACAAACAAACATACAAACTCTGCTCTCAGCCCAGATCTCAATCATTTTTCAGGATATCTCCCTCACAAGAGCTATCTTTTGTCTTGTTTAGAAGCTCTACTATCACCCATAGTGGTGTAGTATCGACCTTTGTGTAAACTCGTTTGCCATTCATCCCTTTCTAGCATAGAAACCTCTGTAAACTCAAAGAGAAATGACTACAAGAGGTTCAACCTTGCCAGACAAGGTGAAATCTTGCCCGAAGCTCTTTGTTTGCTTTCTGAATTTGTAGATCTATTACTTAATGCATTCTCCAGTATGTATTCAAGTCATATCCGCAAGTTTTCCAATTTTAAAAGTCTTATTTGTATCTGGATCTGATCAGTTTAATGGATATGCTTTCATTTAAAACCAATCAAGAACCAAACAAATGACTTAAGGGATCTGGACTCCCCTCATTCGAATATACAAGACTATGAACTGAAAGTCCTTGGTCACAAGGCAAGAAAAAGAACTTAATGTGGACTAAACCCATCCACGACAATCCTTTGATAACAAGAAGTCCGAGTAACTTGGGGTGCAAGTAATCGACTAAGCACAATCTTGTTCTACATCTGTTATACTGAGATAGTAGTGGTACGCCTAGCATTTAGTTTTGATTGCGAGCCTCAAGGCCTACACCTAAGGCCCCACAAAGGCACATTTCAAAACTAACTTTGTCCTCTTCTTGCAACATATCAGCAAGTAAGAGCCCGACTACACATCCAAAGTGCCAATCCCTTGGGGAGTTGTGCTGAGTGCCGAGGAGCCATCTTCGGAGAAATTTTCGCCTAAACACTATCTTTGAGAAAGAAACTTTTGCAAACTCTTGTGTACTGTGCCAAGATCTACAAGTGTACATACAATTTATGAAACATAGTCAGTTTTGTGGGAACTTAGTAGGGTAGATGTCATATGTTATATTTGGCCCCTTACATATAAGGAATAGTTATCATATTACCTTGCAAGTCTAACACGTATATAAAATGACTTGTTAATATATATATATATATATATATATTTATGCACAACGTGCCAAGCTGTGTGCTGGTAGGAAGCAAAAACCAAATGCTTTCAATATATATTTCAATCTTTATTCACCATTAGTCTTTTATAGAGACACACAATCGATCGAAATACATGATGGAAGTGATGCCAATCATATATATATATTGACACCATTATTTTATCTGAAGTGTTAATCGAAATCAATGATCTAAGATCACCAGAATCAACAATATTCTATGCTTTGAAGAAGATTAATTTTCTCCTCCTCCTCTCCTCTCCCGTAGTCTTTACTATTTCATATTTCAATTGATTTTTGCTGTTTTCAAGCTCCATGCACTCCCTGTGATTTTTACATCTTCTGTTCCATAATTGAAGGCATACAAGTGAGCATCATCGTCAATGGCCAATGTGGGATAAACCCTAGCTGTTATGCACGCCTTGCCTTCTCCACCAAAGCTCTCCACAATTGAGTGATCAATCTGATCAGAAAAAGGAGGAAAAATTCCAAGTACGTTAGGTCAAATGTTTCTTATCATGAAATGGGTAAAAAGAAAAGGATGAAGTGAAAAGGTATAGGCATCCATATCCAAAAAGAAGGAACCATAGATGGTATAAAGCTGGTCTATTGGCATATCTACAAGTGTAAAATGTGCAACGAATGAGTCATGCATGTCAAAGATTGTGGCGCATGCATACTTGCCCAAAGTAGCTAGAATCCCCATTTTGCATGTATACTAGTCCAATTTTAGGAGAAATTTTTAGTTGTGACGGGAACACGAGTGGTACACCACGTGTTTTTATGTAAGTGATGAGAAATTTTATTTTCTAAATTATTAACTTTTTAACACATATATCCCACAATTTATATAACGACACGTGATGTATCATCCTATGTGACGGTCATATTGAAAAATTTCTCTAATTTTAGAAAGAGTGTATGCATATAGGCGTATGAGTAATTTTTGATCATGAATGCAAGTACATGAGTCTCACAATGAGATCTGCAAAGCCAATGACCAGAAATCAGTTTTTCACCCTGATACGATACGATAAGATTGATCGTAGCATTTGACCTTTTCTTATGAACTGTTACCCATGAGGTGGTTCTAGATTCTCCAATGTGCTTGATTGAAATTTCTCATGGGGAAGACTTTTAAATTCAAATAAACTTTTCCATGAATGCAATGCGTATGGAGGTCCATGATCATATGGAAAGACATCGTTTTCAATAAAAAAAATGATATATATATATATATATATATATATATTATTAGTTTTAAAGCAACTTACCAAATTTCTTAGCGACAGCTTCTCACGAAGAGGATCCACCTTTACAAAAGCTCCATAAGTGGTCTTATCATTATCCTTATTTAAGGAAGACCTACCGACCCATAACCAAAAAAAAAAAAACAAAACAAAACAAGTAGTTAACAATTTGAAGTATGGTTAGACAAAAACAAGCAGTTAGCAATCTGAAGTTTTTTTATTTTTTTTTTTTTGGGAAAACGTTAGCAATCTGAAGTTTGGTTAGACATTTGGTGGGGGAGAGAGAGAGAGAGAGAGACCGGCTTTGATCACTGCAGAGGAGCACCACATATTTGTTATTGGCTTTGAATATTCTATAGAACACTGCTGTGTATTCTTTCAAGTCCTTGGAAGCCAAAACATACAGCCCAAATGGTCCTAAACTACCTTTAACTGTGGCACTTTTTTGGCCACACAAAAGTTGGGGGTCCGTCCAACTAGGGTCAAGAACTTCTGCTTTCTTAAAATCACTTATCCCGAATGTAATCTCCACATCTGCCTGCAAAACGGTTGACAAAACAAAAGGAAAATACACCAAAATTAAAACGGTTGGTAGTAGACGTGGGCGGCTAGAACTAGAACGGATGTGCCTTCTATATGTATTTGAATTATTTTTCATCTAGTTTAAAGTAAAATATCGTTAATGTAAATTAAAAACGTGGCAATATAAAATATTCACCTGTGCTGCAGTGACACCAACTACCTCACGCACCGATCCTCCCTTAAGCACAGTGCTTGGCAACTTGACCGTTTTTCCACGTAGCTTTTCAATTTCTTGTACTGGCCATTGCACCAACTGTTTCCCGGATTTGGCGAGCCATAGGGTTCTTGGAATTGCCTGCGAGAGTCAAAGTCAATGCAAATACAAGACCAATTTAGTTCACAAAAGCCAGCTGCTAATTGGAGACTATTTAAATACCAAATAGCAAAGAAATAGGACCACGATCTGGTTAGCCCAATGGTAAAGTACGAATCCAGAGCTTCTTTAAAAAAAAATTTGGAGGTTTCGGGTTCGAAACCCGTTGTTGGTGTGAAAGCTAAACTTGTGGCCAGAAAGATAATCGTGATTTGCCATCCGTTGTCTTCTTTTTATAAAAAAAAAATAGCAAAAAAAGAAATAGAAAATAACATTAATTATAACCGTTGGATCAAATTTTAAATGCCTGGATCATTTGATCCTTAGACTTAATTTTTGGAGATCCAAAGAGGATCTGGTATGATTTAGATTCATAATTTGACAGCATAAATATTTGTTTGGCAAAAGAACATTACCTGAAGTCCAGACCATCCCTTCTTGATATCACCTCGACGCTCGACGATTCATTAATCCAACCCCACAATATCCTCCGATTCTTAGAACTGTCAAAGAAAGTTTTTGAAGCATAAAACTTTCCATAATCATATCTCAAGCCTGAGTCACTCTCCACTGAACCCTTATCCGGAATATATATATCCTTGTCAATGTTATAAGTCCCAATTGTGTAGTACTCATGTTTAGTGTTATCCAGGCTAGCCTTGAGCACATGTTTGACAGCAGGACCATTTTCTGATGAGTCAAGACCATTCTGGCCATGGATTGAAACTGGGAAAAAATCTGGACATTCCCACATTCCAGTTTTCTTGGCTGAGTGAAGGGGGTGTTTGGCCTTAACCCAATGAAGGAAATCTTTACTCCTGTATAGGATAGCTAATCCTCTTTGGTTCTGCTTGCTTCCAATGATCACTCTCCATCTCTTATCTGGGCCCAACCAAGCAGTTGTGGGGTCCCTAAATGAGCTTGCGTTGATATGGTTAGCTTGGGTGGGTGCCATTAGGGGATTTTGTGGGACCTTGACCCACTCCCTAAGAAATGGGTCTGAGAGGTTCTTGGGGAAGGCCAAATTCTGAACCTGCTGGTTTTGGGGGTTGATTCCGGTATACAAAATGACCGGTTTGCCACTCGGGAGGATGGTGGCGGAACCCGACCAACAGCCGTTGATATCGGACGGCTGCGATGGGAAGATGGCAGCATCATGTGGGGTCCAGTTAACAAGATCAGTTGATGTGGAATGAGCCCACACAATGTTCCCCCAAACCACACCTTTAGGGTTGTATTGATAGAAGAGATGGTAAATTCCCTTGTAAATCAATGGTCCTGCAGCAAGAGTAATAGACAAGGCCTTAGTACTTTTGAAATTCGAAAGTGCCGAAAAGCCTAAACCAAAAGAGGAACAAACAAAGTGTGGCTAAAAGAGCAAGAATACAAGAATAGACATTGCTAAACTGACAAGCTAGATTTAAATGTTTTAGATGAAACCATTATACTGACGGTTTTAAGTACTCTACAGACCAATGCAATACATTGATGCATCGCAACATTTTTGACAATACAAAAGCCACCAATCATGACTTTGACTCCCAGCTATATATGTATATAGGAGTTATATACATGTATATAAGCATATAGGTTCATGGAAAATGAACAAATTGTAAGATTAGTGACACATATGCTAATGACTCGATCCTGAAAGCCCATACACTAAACCCAGAAATGTAAGAGAAGAGTACTAATTGCACAAAATATTTTTTGAAGAAAATAGAACAATAGGAGAGACAAACTAACCATTAGGATCTGTGCAACCAAACAAGCCGATTTGTCCATTCCACAATTAGAACAAGTCAATGTCAAAAACGAGAAGCAAGAAAACAAATGTTAGAGTTATAAACAATAAAAATGACGGGTGATAGAAAAAGAATGAAAATATATGAACAAAAACTAGAATAAATTAATGAAGAAAATTAAAGGGGATATAAAAATATACCATTGATCCAGTTCTTGGGAGGTTGGAAATGATAACCAGTTCTGTAGGGTTCAGTATCTTGATGTGAGGAAGTTAGCTCGGAAGTTTGAAGGCTTCTGTAAACATGGTGGGAAGCTTCAAGCCGAAGAACAGCATGGCCTAGCCAAAGACAGAGAAAGCAGTAGAGAAAGAGAGAGGAGACAGACATGGTGGCTTTGTGTTTGTGAGGATGAGAAAATAAGGGAACACTCTCCGGTGTATTTATAGGAGTAGTCAAGGCTAAGGGTGGATGGTTAGATGTGAGATAAAGAACAAAAAGTCATTGCAGAGTGATGTCTCATCATAAGATCTGAAGGAGGAAAAGTAAACTTTAGGACAAGAAATTAGCAGCCTAGTTGATCTCTTCAAATAAAAAATTCAAAAGTAAAGGGTTGCATTTTCTTTCTTTCTTTTTATCCATTCTGGTTAGATGGTATTAGAAAGGGATATGTTATCCATACACCATTTTTTACTTCTCACATACTTCTTATTAATTTCTATTCGTTAATCTTCTTCAATTCATTCAATCTTACGGCCGAAAATAAAAAAGGTGTGAGAAAAGTAAAAATGAGTATGTGGATATCACACCTCTATTAGAAAAGGGTTTTCTCTACACCAAACAATTATACTTGCGTGTTCATTTTTTGTTTAATAATCTTCAAAAGTTATTCGGCTACAATATTATGTCTTATATGCAAAATTTAATGGTTGCAAACAAATATGAGATCTCTATATGCAAAATCAAGCTGCTAATAATTTTTAGAATCACTCAGTGGTAGACCTGTAAACGAGTCGGGTTTATTGGGTTTGGGTCGGATTCAACCCGACCCGTTAAGTTAACGGATCACCCGAACCCGACCCGTTAAGCTAACGGGTCACCCGTTTCACCCGTTAACAATTATTATTATTATTTTTTTTTGCATAAAGTTTATTTTTTGTTATTAAGATTTTACTAAAATTACTAAAATATCCTCAACTAACGGGTGCTAACGGGTGTTAACGGGTCCCAATGGGTCTAACGGGTTGACCCAAAGTGACCCGTTATTTAACGGGTTGTTAACGGGTTCACCCGTTAGCGACCCGACTCGACCCGTTAAGCATCCATCCAAATACAAATATTAACGGGTTGGGTCGGATCGGGTTAACGGGTTTGGTCCAAAATGACAGGCCTACTCAGTAGTACGAACCATGAAAAAATACTGTAAACTACTATTTATGGCACTATGAAAAACAAATTTGAACTTCCCATTTTTCTTTTTGGTAATCAAATCAAGAATAATGTTAAACAAACAAAAGATGACAAGATAAAAGAGTAAATTATAATTCACGTGATTAAAAGCATGTACTCATGCATTCGAGGTCTTATAAATATATAGAAGTGCCAAATGATGAAGATCTAAAGAACGCTTTATTTTTTTTTATTTTTTTTTGTTCTCCCAAAAAAAGAACGCATTTTAACACATTGAGACGACCCAGTCGATTTTGCAAGTGCTTTCAGTTCATGTCCCCTATATAGCTTCTAGCTTAATATTAAAAAACAGTCAACCATGCATAACATAATCATTCATTAACTTCAACTTGTTCTATCCCTTGTACATCACTCAAGATGCTGGTCTAAAACTTCGTGCCCGACTAAAAACAAATTGGTAATTAACTTATACGCTTGGCAGAGTTTTCTCAGATTTATATAAAATAATCAGTTCCAAAATTCCCTACCTCAATAACCTATCTCCAAGAGTGCCTCGAAAGGAGGAGTGCGGTGCTCCGTCGACGAGCGCGTCCTGTAGTTGAATCGTTGTCCGAGATCTGACCGGCTAGTCCCTCCTTCTCGAAGCTCTGGTTGCGAATCCGGGGACTTGGCTCGGCTGTCGTGATTGACTGGGGAACGGCGAGCAAAGTTGTTCCACTGGCGGCTCGAGGGCGGCCTGCCCAGGTGCGGAGATCTGGATCTGGTGGAGATCTGAGAGGAGATAAGGTACGGTGGCTGGTGCTTGTGGTGGTGGCCTCTGGGGGGTGAGTGGGGTGCGGTTCTTTTAACTGGCCATGGCTGGAGGAAGTCCGAATGAGGACTTAGAGGAGTTGGGGACACGATTTGGGATCAACCTCATCCTGTCTGAGAAAGAACTGGGAGGCGTGTGTATTGAGAGAAAGGATGTCGAAGGTGCTCTATTAGGGTTTCAGTATACCTTGATTGCAGAAGTCCTCACTGCTAAGGCGGTGAAAGGAGATGTGTTCGTTGACTGCTTCATGTCTCTCTGGCGTGGACGTGAGGGGGTCTCGATTAGGGAGATTGGAGATCGGAGATTTCTTGCTCGGTTTGCGGGGAAAAGGGATTTGCAATGGGTGGTTGAGGCGGACATGCCTTGGATGTTCAAAAATGACCTTGTATTGGTGGCGGATCGAACGGAGAAGGGGCTGAACCGATGGACCCCTCTCTTCCTGGGTGTGCTCTGGGTCCAGCTGCATAACGTCCCGGTGCTCAGTATGACCCAAGCGGTAGCTGAAACAATAGGTAGTTTGATGGGTGAGGTTCGATTGGTGGACAAAACTGGGAGCCGTGACTGCATTGGAAGATTCCTCCGGGTGAAAATTGGCTTCAATGTTCGCGAACCCTTAATGCGAGGGACCTTTGTGACCTTTCCCAATGAAGGCAAGATCTGGATTGATTTCAAGTATGAATCACTTCCTAATAACTGTCTCATTTGTGGAAAGCTGGGACACCCTACTAGGATCTGCAAGGAAGCTTTGGATGAAAGTACAGACCAAAGAGATGGCACCAAGACGAGGAATGAGGTACTTGCATTCCGTGGGTTAGATGCGGTGTCGGACCTGAGAGGTAATCCTCTGGGAGCTGGATCCAGGAGCAGGGCATCCTCTGGGTCAAATGGTGGACGGAGTGGATCGGAGCGGTGGAACGAAGAACTGGGTGGTAGTAGACGCTCCGGACGGTCTTCTACGGCGTCAGGAATGGGATGTCAACCCCCGAAAGCGGCTAGCAGATCTCAGAACGGTAGTGAGTGCACCGCGCCGTTGGAGGAGGAGGTTATTGACACTGCAACATCACCAAGCAAGCCTAGGTGGTCGTCTAACAAAATGGGATACAGAGACAACGTGCTTGCGGGGAAAATCTGACGTCAACGGCTAGCTGAAGAAGAGGCGAGGTCAGCAAGAGAACTGGCTTTCGATGCAGGCTTAATTGGGCCGGAGGGTGCGGTGGCAGCGGGAGCGGAACACGTGGTACTTAACGACCATTACGAGCAGGAGGGACGGGTGGATTCGGTAAGTACGACTCTGAATGGAGGCTCTTCTTTCGATCTTAACCTTGTGCCTGGCGTCGGTGAGGATGGGGACAGTGTGAATGCTAGACGGGGGGAAGCTAGTGATGGTTGGGGGTGCGGGAGTGGATGTGATTTGGCTAAAGATGATGATCTTTTTGAGCTGGAAGCTATCATTGAAGCCGTGATGAACGAGAATAAAGGAAAAAAGAGAAGTGCCCGAGAGGTGGAGTATGATGAGGTTAACCTCTGTGTGGAACCTAAAAGATCCAAGCTAAGTAGGAAGACATATGTTGAGGCGGAGGAGACCAGCCGTGAGGGGTCTCCCAGGTCCAAATGAGGCTACTTACTTGGAACTGTCAGGTATCGGGGGTGACCTGACAGTTGACAATCTACTGGAGCAGAATCGGCTCCACACCCTTGACATTATGGTTTTGCTGGAAACCAAAAATAAAAGCAGTCGGTATGGGTATCTCAAGAAACGTTTGGATTTGGAGTACATGCACGCAGTGGAACCTAGGGGCATTAGGGGAGGCCTCTGTGTCTTCTGGCAGGATGCTTCCCAGGTTACTCTGGTGAAGTCTGAGGACTTTGTTATTGAAGTTAAAATTTGGGATGAGCACAAGAAGTGTCACTGGTATTTGTTTGCAATCTATGCTAGTACTGATGAGAAAAAACGGCGGGATCAATGGGGGTATTTGAGCAGGCGGCTTGGAAACAATAGGGGAAAAACTCTTCTCATCGGGGACTTTAATGACATTCTGTGTAATGATGAGAAAGAGGGGGGCAACTACAGACCGACGGCTAGTATGCGAGACTTTCGAGAGTTTGTGGCTCAAAATGAGCTCATGGACCTGGGTTTTGTTGGCTATCCGTTTACGTGGCGGAACAACCAGGAGGCGAAGCCTATTCAGCAGCGCCTGGACAGGGGATTGGCCACTATGGGATGGCAGGACCTTTACCCTGAGAACACAATCAGGCATGTGGTACTGGAAGGGTCTGACCATGCTCTGTTATTTTTCTCCCACGGAGAAAGTGAAAGCATGGAAGGGGAGAAAATTCTCTTATGATGCACGATGGAGCAAAATGGAGGAGTGTCGGCAATTGGTGGTAGAGGAATGGAGAGATAAACATGGGGGGTCACACGCTTTTCGCTTTTGTGAAAAACTGAAAGCCCTAAGGCACAAGCTCAAGGATTGGTATCGGGGGAGAGGAATGAACTCGAAGAAAGTCATCGGGCAGCTGAAAAAGGAGATTCGAGCGGCTTATATGTCTACTGAATTTACCTCGGAGGTGGTTAAGATGAAGGAGAGAGAGCTCTGGGCCGCCCATCGAAATGAAGAATCTTACTAGAGAATGAAGTCGCGTACCCAATGGTTAAAGGAAGGTGATAAAAATTCTAAGTTCTTCCATGCTCAAACTCTCAAAAGAAGGAGGTTCAACCAAATCAAGGGGTTGGAGGATTTGAATGGAGTGTGGCAGGAGGATGAAGCAACGATATCTTCAATTGCTATCTCTTATTTTGCGGTGTTATTTAAGTCGAGCAGCCCTGGGCAAATCGATGAGATTGGGGAATGCCTGGCACCACGTGTGTCTGCTGAGGACAACCTTGCCTTGACGGCAGCGGTGACAGAGGAGGAAATCAAAACGGTTGTCTTCCAAATCCCTCCAATTAGGGCCCCTGGTCCGGACGGGTACTCTGGATGCTTTTACCAGGATCATTGGGATACTGTGGGCAAGGATGTGATCAAGATAGTCAAAGCCTTCTGGCATTCGGGTACTATTCTGAGGAAACTTAATCATACTAACCTTGTGCTTATCCCTAAGGTCAAGTGCCCGAAGAACATGACGCAATACCGGCCTATTGCACTATGCAATGTAATCTACAAAGCCA